TTGGACAGTATGAAATTAAATGGATCTTTTATCTAAAAACTTTAATTCTCACTGGTCTAAATTCAGATTTTAATCTATTTTATTTTTTATAATCACATTTTTTATTACCATAATCATAATTCTATACATCTTGTCCCTTTATGTACTTATTCGTCTCCTGTATTTTACCATGTATGCCCCTCATTTCCCTATTATATACTTCTCATGTTATCTTTCATTCTAAGAATGGAATAGCCCTTTTAATATGTCCCTTTTTAGTATTTTATATTGCCACCCTCCCCATTACTTTTCTGTAGTACTTTCCTCTTTCTATGTTCATATTTATGTGATAGTATCATTTAAATATTCATATGGTATCTTTTATTGGTTTATGCTTTTTTTTGTTACTTTATCCATTCTTTTGTAAAGTCTATATTCATGGTGTTTTCCCCCTGTTTAGCTGCTAGCTGGCACTGCCTGTCATCACTTTGTAGCTCTATTAACTACAGTCAGCATGTTTGCCATATTTGTGTAGTTGACAGCTACTAACAGGCGCCATTTTGGTGGAGCCCAAGTAGTTACTTAGCGCTAACGCTCTTAAAGTGGCCCTCGTTTTTGGTGCCACATGTCCAGGTGGCCTCCTCCTGCCCCTCCAACTAGTAGGCAGTATGCTGAATCTTATATAACAGCTCCCGTGGCCATGTCAGTCACGTTTTGCGGCACACGGCGCCATTTTGGATTTTTCACTGTGCTTGTTTCTTATACTCAAAGTTATTTTTGAACAATATATATTTTTTTTTAATCTACTTAAATGCCATATACCTCCTTTCATCCCTACCTCTTAGATTATTAAATCTTATTTAAAAAAAAATAAAAAATTGTTAATAATGTGACTGATGTCAAGAAACCGTTAATTTTGAATTTCACCATCCTATTTAAGCAGCTGTGGTCCCATATACTCTAATTTCATAATTTCAAAATCAGTATTTAACCCTTGTGGAATTAATGTTTCCAAGTCAAAATTCCACCTCATTTCTGTTAATCCTAAAAGATGATTTTGAAATTAATCAATATATTTAATAACAGCTATTTTCCCTCTCTTTTTTATCTTATTTTTATATATTTTTATTTATATTATGGTTTTAATAAGGTGTGTTATATTTAATGTCTCTCCTCTTGTTTCCCATATTAAGTATCTGTTTTCTGTTTCATTATGTAATACATTTTAATTTCGTATGTTTATTCATTTTGATGATTTGGCCTGGGACCAAAGTATGAACTTATCTATTTAGTATTTTGTTTGCAATGTGCCTGGGGATATTACTAAAACTACTACATTTGAGGGCTGGACATACAAATTACCCATATGATGTCAAGACATCCTGATTTTTCATAATAGGAGAGAGACATGGATTAGTGAACGTCACGACGTCCCTCCCGAAACAGAAAACCAGGTGACAATGAACATCAGGCCGCAAGGATGCACATTGGCGTCCACTTCGGAAGTCTATGAGTCCACAAGTAGCGCTTGAAAGGCGCCAAATTTTTGAAGTACTTAAATAAAGTATATGACTGAATGCCCAGAATGGATTTATTACTTCTGAAGAATGCAACAGCCGAAACGCGTAATTTCAGAGACTTGGCTTTACCCCTTGGGACTCTTTAACCAATTTTGTTTGTGTTTTATTTGTTTGATTTTATGTAAAATCAATACATTTCTTACCCCCTACATCCTGGAATAAACTTGAGAGGTTTGAAGCAAAGACATTGGAGAGTTCCTAGTGAAGACCAAGCACTGATCTTTATATTCTGAAGGCATTCAGTTTGAGCCAGCTTTTCAAGTGGCTCTTAACCATGTGAGTGAGACCAACATTTGTCAAGTTCCACTCATTATTACTATATTACCTTATGTTCTCTTTTGTTTTATCTTTTTTAGATTGACTATGTTAACTGAGTAACTTTAAGTGCTCTCACCATTGTGTTTATTTTGTTTTTGAGACCGGACCGGGGAGGGTATGCTGATCCGGGGTCACAACACTACCGGACTAATTTCAGTTCCCTCTACTGCCGTGGGTGAGTCGGTCTGACAAGTTGTCGGAGCCTGTGGTGGATGTTAGAACCCTCTGGTGGAGCGTTTCTGTGAAGGGGAAGAGAAAGAGGAAAAGAAAAGGAGAGAGAAGGGGAAAACCGTGCCCTTACTTATTACTGAGAAAGTTCCTGCAGACTTAGCTGTATGTGTATATATTGACGATACTGATGGAAATTACTGGATTATTTGCTCAGCTTGTTACTGAATCTACATGTATCTAATTTGGACTTGGTTTGCCTTTCCTACGGGTTTTTGAGAGAGTTATGGGTTCCTTGTGTCACTGAGGGGATTCAATTAACTTCCCAACTCTCAACTTAACGCAGTTACCTTGGAAGAAGAGTTCCTACTGTAATATATATTTTTTCTTAAAGAGTAATGTCATCAAAAAAAGCACAAGACAAAGCCTTAGCAAAGGCTGATAAGAAAGGCCAGAAACAGGAAAAGTGACTGCTTTTTTTGTACCACAAGATAATCATGAATGCCTGGAGCAATCAACTTTGGAGTACTTACATACAGGGGCTTCCCCTTCCCCTATAAAGACTACAGATAAAGAGGTAGTTACACCTACCATTTTAAAGAAAAGCCTGGAAGACATCTCTAATGATATTAAAAAGGAGTTGAGTGATAAATTCGCTGATATGAAAGCAGATTTAGTCACGTTAAGTGGACGCATCCAGAAAATAGAAGAAAGGGAAGAGGCTATAGAATTTCAGCTTCAGGGGGTGAAGGAGATCCAAACTAAGATGGCATCTAAAGTGAAAGAATTGGAACACAAAGTGTGTGATCTGGAAGATAGATCAAGAAGACTGAACCCAAGGTTCTGAAATATACCTGAGGAAATTCCAGACACGCAACTACATGATTTTCTAACAGAATATATTAATTGCTTGGTGATTTCAACTGTACAGCATGATACAAAGATGTCTCGTTATCATTGCCTCTTTCAAAGATAATCATGGCGTTTGTTTCGTATGATTTCAGGACACAGATTCTCCAGTCAGCAAAGAAGATGAGGATAAATGACGAAAAATTTAAAGCAATAAGAGTCCTAACAGATGTTTCCCATCTAACGAGGCAAAGAAGGAATCTCTTCTCTATGGTTTTCCCGTGTTTGAAGAAATACAATTTAAAGTTAAAACGGAATTTGCAATCAGCTTTATCAATCTGTTATAAGGACATATAGACGTCTTAAGACAGTGGATCTTGTCCATGTTTGGTTAAAAGATAATGACCTGTAGCCATTATATTAATGCATTAGTCTGCTGGGTGTGGTGCTAATGAATATTAATATAATCTCAAAGAGAAAAAAAAAAAAATTAAGATAACCCCAGAAATATCAGGTTACTAGTACCATTGGAACATTTAATTTGCGGATATATTTATCTGAGAGGTATATACCTTTTTTGGTTATGATTTTACAAATATTTAAAGCTTAATATGTTGGATCACTACATTTTTTAGGTGTTAACACGTGGAATAGTTCGTAGGGGTTGAGAGTGTACATACAAGGTTCCAAAAGGGATTATAAGAAAATTAATTAAGCAAATAAGCAATGGTAGTATATCGGAGCGACTAATATAATTAAAGTAATTCAAATAGTAAATGAGTTAGAGCGGTGTTGGTATTTGAGAATTTAAGGATGTATGTGATGGCAAGGGCTACTATAAGTTATTTTAAGCTTTATTAGTCTCCCTTTATTACATAACTAAATTGTTGCAAGTGTTTAGGATTTGCAGTCACTTTTTTATCACGATATGTTAAGTAAACGCACGCCCATCTATGCAAGAGGCATATATATATATATATATATATATATATATATATATATATATATATATATATATATATATATATATATATATGTCACTTTAAGGGAATAGATAAAAATACACTGACCGTATGGGAATAGTAAAATATTTGAAGGTTTGTTATGTGATTATAATAGGAAAATGTTTGTGTAAATTGATAATTAGTAAGATGCTGTTTTTTTTTTTCTCTCTCTCTCCATAAGACCCTCCGAGTTTCTATAGCCCTCCCTGTGGGATTCCGTGGAACTCCCAGTACTTAGAATATTTTTTGTGTTCCAGGCTTCTGTGTCGATATGAATCTTTTCATGTTGTTTTGTTGGGTGTGTAATATGTTTAACTGGTCATGCATATTGCGGATATGGTCAAGGAGCCCAAAAGAGGAAAATAGAGTAAGATATGGTTAGAGTCATATCTATTAATGCCTAAAGCCTTAACTCCTGTTAAAAGAGGCTATTTGCATAATACTCTTGTTAATCAGAAAATACAAGTAGGGTTTATCCAGGAAACCCATTGGATTGGGGAGTCTAGGAAATTATGGTTCTATAAAAAAATATCCCTTGATTTACTCTGGAATTTTACAAGGAAAAAAGAAATGCGGTGTTTCAATAATTTTCTCTAAAGAAGTTACATTCGATTGTTGTTTTAATCATTTAGATCCGGGAGGGAGGTTTATCATTTTAGTGGGCCAACTTAACGGGACAGATTATACTTTAGTTAATGTGTATGTACCCAATAAAGACCCAATTAAAACTCTGACTAAAATTTTTGATCTGGTGGAACAGGTTAAAAAAGTAGAGTTTTGATTGCAGGTGATTTTAAATGTATTTTTAACACTTTATTGGACAAGCAATTGGCTAAAAACCAGCAGATAGATAAATCCCTGAAAAGATAGGCAGAGTGATTAAGTAGAGTGATAAAGAAAGCAGATTTGTATGACTGCCGGAGATTGTCCCACCCCAATGAAAGGAATTTAACACACAGGTCTATCCTGCACAATTCGGCTGTCAGGATAGACATGATTTTGGGTAACTTAAATCTAGTAAAGGCGATCTCAATTTCCATCGTGGAAAATACCTGGTCAGACCACAACATGGTAATTGCAGACTTGGTGGTAACTAATACGAGATCCCCTCCGATCTGGAGATTGGCAGATTATCTGTTAAAAAATAAAGCAAATGTAGAACATATAGAGAATTTAATTGATCTTTTTTTTAAAGAGAATACATCTGAGGAGTTATCCAAGGAATGCCTATGGTGTTCTTGTAAAGCAGTTATCAGGGGAAACTGGATTAAATTAGCAAGCCACCAAAAAAGGAACATAGATAATATCTTGTCCGATCTTTATATCAAATTTTACAATCTTTCTAAAGCTAACAAACAATCTTATTCTGAGGAGAGAGCATTATCTATTAAGGTTTGCCAAGAAAAGATAAATGTACAGATTAAGAACAGGACAGAACGTAATTTAAATAATCTCAATATTAAATACTATTACAAAAATAATCGCGTTGACTCATTGTTAACAAATAAAGAAAAAGATGGCTGACCAAAAGATCTCCAAACTGGGAAATTGAATTATTTATATCTATGAGCCAGAGGAAATTGCCAGCAAATTCAGATCTTTTTATGCAAAACTATACAATTTGAATAAATCTCCTGACTTAGTCATGTTGGAGAATTACTTGGAAAAATAAATAAATAAGTTTAAAAAAAATAAAAAAAAAAATAAAAAATAAAAAAAATCGAATTTATCAAAAATATCTTACGATCAGAAGGAAGGGCTTAACAGAAGTATCTCTCAGAATTAAGTTGATTTAGCAATTGATAAGCTTGTAAATAGTAAAGCTCCTGGTCTGGATAGGTATACGAATCTGTTCAAGGTTTTTAAAAAACAGTTACTCCCGCTGTTAACGGAGACCTTTAATGAATTGGTGACCAAAGGGTTTGCCTCCCAAGATCTGTTAAGGGCACATATTACTCCGGTTTTGAAGCAAGGTAAAATTCCCTATGAAGTGAGTAATTATCGTCCTATTTCTCTGGTCAATGTTGACGTTAAACTTTACGCCACAATTCTGGTGAAACGGAAAATCTAAAGAGGATATTAGGTCGCGCCAAAAAATAAATATAGCAGGATAAAAAGGTAATATAACAGTAAATAATAACAAACATTTCTTCATATAAAACAAATAAATAATGTAATAAGTACTTACAAATAGTAGTACATACAAAGAGAAATTGATAAACAGTCCTAAAAATAAGCAGGGAATGGTCACATCCACTTGAGGGAAAGAAACAGTCCTAATGGAATTGGAGAAATGAGTGAAACGTCTTGTTCCAGGTGCCAATATGCAAAAGAAAACAGGAGAAAAAAATCCAATAGTGTAGAATGTATCTTCTGCTTTTTTATGGAAATTCAAAATGAAAAGGTATCGCACTCACCTATATTAGAGCTAAAACTAGCTCAGGTGTGCTTCACATTCAGTGGTACTGGTCCCCCACTTGTGGGATGTAGACTTATATACGTAGCAGAGATCCTCGGGAAAGAAGAGGATAACACAGAAACTTTAAGAAAAAGTTTTTCTTAATGCCAGTTGAAAAAGCCCTGTGTGGCAAAACGCGTTTTGGCTGTCTTATATTTTTTTTATATCATTTTATACTTTATCAACAAAGGATTATTGGCTTATATTTCACCTTTTATCATTGACAATATATCTTTTATTTAAAGTTTCTGAATTTTTTATTTATTTTATTTTTATTCATTATCTTTTGGACCTGGTACAAAGTAGTATTACATCTTATATTTGGAGAGGGAAGAGACCAAGAATCAATACATATATTATATCAAGGGGGTTTGGGCTATCCCTTAATTACTCAAGTATTTCATGCCAATATGCTGGTCCATGCTAGCAATTTACAATTAAGTGATTCTAAAAACCAAGCTTGGTACAAAATTGAGTCAGCTAGAATTGGACTAGATCATCTTTAGCGTCTCCTATGGAGAGAGGCAAGCCAGAATAAGGAAATGGGCGAGATTACATTCCAGTCTTTCAGGTCTATCACAAACATTAAAAGAATGGAATATTATAAAGAAAAAGTTGAATATTAATAAAAAAAAAACTATATGAGAACCTTAGTTTAAGGTCTTTAGAACAATATATTAACTTGGTAAACTGGCATAAAAATTTCGACTATGGGATAAAAGATCTTTCTAGTGAACAGCAATTGAAAAGCTTTGCAGCTCTTAAGATTGGATTTACCTTCTAGAGAAATATTTAATTACCTCTGTATTAAGAGCTATCTATGCTAACGTTAGATGGCCGCTTGGGTAAATTATTTAGGAAAATGTTCTCTGGTTTTGCAGTAAAAAAGGTGTTCTCTCTTGCGATAGAAGTGATAAAACTTAAGGGGGCCCCAGATATATCCAAAGCTTTAACTAAATGGGAGGATGATTTAGAAATATCTATTCCATATAACAATTGGTGTAAATCTTTTATGATGACTAAAAAAAATGTATTCACGGTCTGAATATTTTAGAAACCTTTATCAAAATCTTGTATAGATGGTATATGGTACCGACTAGACTTGAAAAAAATATCCAATACAAATCCTCCAAATTCCTGGTGGTGTTTTCATTCAGACGGGTCTATGCTCAATATTTGGTGGGCTTGCCCCAGAATTAAGCCCCTTTGTAATATTTAATTTAATTTTATTTATAGGATTGGAGGTATACACCTGGAGCATAAAGCAGAAATTGCCCTACTTCACCTTATGGGTTCAGAAATAAATGGTAATCTTGATATTGTGATTGTACATTGTCTAATGGCAACTAAAATACTAATTGCCAGATTTAAGTACTGAGATTCCAACTAGAGATCAAGTTAAAGCTCAATTACTATACCAACTTGAGATGGAAAAAGGGTTGATCCTCATGAATGATTATTTTAACGATAATATTCTGACGCAATATTCCAACTTTATTGACAAGATCAGAGGGTTTTAATGAGGTTAGGTTAATAAAAGAACATATTATGACTTGCCTAGATTTGGATGAAAACCAGTATAGGATATTACTCCTTTGACCATATATTTGATACCAGTTCAAATTGTTATTGGATTCTTGACTTGTCACATTGTTATACTATCTTGGACCAGTTTTGTTCATATTGTAGGTCTTATTTTTGTTGGTACGGTTTTTTGTCGGAGTGTGATTCTCCTACATTTGATATTGTATACTAAATTTTTTAGGTATTAGAAGGTTTATCTTCTACACATATACGATGTAATTAGCCATACCTGTGTGTTTTATCCGGGAAAGGATGTTCTATTGTAGTACCTTTCTTGGGTGTGTATTGTATATTTATATTGTTATAAAACTAAATAAAAAAGATAAAATAAAAAGTTGGAGCTGCATTGAAGCTCTAGAAAAGTGAGAGTGGACATTTTTGATCTAATTTACACCAACTGAAGTTTTAAATACTACACTATTGTATTTCCCTTTTTTCTTTTCATATTAGTTTATATACCCTTATGAGGACTATTTAGGCATTGCACCTATCTCCTGTTTTTTACCCAGCTTTCGATCAGAAGAGAGACACTCCGTACTTGGTGTTTTAGCTGCCATTGGACTGTAATTCTTTTACTTGAGCTCTGAATTATACTTTTGTGTTATCCTAGATTATTTGAGTCACAGTGTTTTTCAGCATCAGTTTTAAAAAAAAACTTATTTTCTTTAACTGTGCAAGCAACGTACACTGCACTGTGTGCTGTGTACAGTGTGGTGTTTAATGTTAAAGTCAAATACAATAGCATTATACTAGTAAAAATTCACTAAGCATCAACACATTTTTCAACACAAACATATGTTTTGGCGTAATAAAGTTATGCTAATTTACACAATTCCTGTTCATGTCACCATTTATATTAATAATAAAAAACATCCATCCATCAGCAAAGGTGTGTCCTAATCACAAGAAGAAATTGATGGAAGGTAGGGATCATGTTTCCTAAACTATCATCAGCAGTGGTGCCATGGTCTCTTTCGTGGCCATGAGTACCTCCACTGCTGCTGTCACCACCAGGGCCAGACTTTGCAAAAAATTCAGCCTGGGCAATTAAAGGCAGAGCAGTCCACTATAAAGTGGTGGGGCCAAAAAGGGGGCCTGTAATGTCACCACTATTGACACACACACGCACACTCCTCCCCCCCCACACCAAATGAGTATGTTAATGTGACACTCCTCCAGAGCATCAAGTGCTCATGGATGAAGTAAATGCCATGTTTTTTTGTGGGGGAGTTTGTGCAACGTAAGCATGCGCTGCGTTTGCTGGCGATTTGTCTGAGAACATAAAACCCCTTTATATACCTCTGGCTTTTGCCTCTAACAATTAAAATTACTTTATTTAAATTAATTTATGTAACAACTTCTTAACCATAGCCTACCTCCTATAAATACAAATTCCTAAACCCTAAACCATTTCCACTTATAAGCTATAGCTATTTTAGTTGCTAATAAACAGTGTATCATTATTGTTAATACTTCCTCCTGAGGTGTTATCTGGAACATGTGAAAAAGATAGCTTTCTGGTTGCCACTTAATATCTACACTTAACCCCATTTTAAAAAAAGATTCCACTTCCTGCCAAAGTGGTATAATCAGTGGGCACTCCCCAAAAATGTGCAGCAAGTTGCCTAAATTCTCATGGCATCTCCAACAAGCTGTAGATGTTCCTGGGTATAATTGAGCTAGTCTAGAGGGTACCATATACCATCTCAAATGTAAGTTTCTAAATGCCTCCCAATGTGATAAGCTTCTGGAAGCTTGTTAAGTGATTTTTAAAGCCTTGTACCAACTTTCCTGCGGTACTTGATTATCCAAGTCCCTTTCCCATTTTTGCATGTAACTTTTAGTATCCACATCCATAGATACTAAAGTGTTATAGCAAAATGAAAGCTTTTGTTTAGAATTTTCCCTGCACATTTACATAAGAAGGGGGAGCTGTTTATCATCTTTTAATGTGCATCATATTTTATTCAAAATATGTTTTATGCGTGAGTATGTGAATAATTCATGTGACGGCAGAACATATTGCTTCTGGAGCTCCGGAAATGATTTTATTCCACTTACGTTATATAGATCACCTATGTCTTACCCCTCGCTCCATCCAAGTATCGAAGAATAAATCATGGCTAAAGAATGTCATCATTTTGAAAGGAGCTTCCAAAGCTTTGAAATAGCTTGTCCCCAAATTTTTGTTAATGCTTTCGTGGAAGGCAACATATTGCATAGTTTTTCTTGTTTCACTGGACCAAAAACAGAGAAACTGTTCCATAGTACCAGCCTGAATATAAGCATTCTCTAACCCCAACCAAATTGGGGCTACACCCTGCTCAAGAAAAACTTCTTTATAGTAAAAGGAAATATTCGGTATATTTAAACCTCCTTTCATGTATGG